TAGCTCTTACAATACAATCACTCCTGCGAGGTCTTTATCTCGCCGAGGTATTATATAACTAAAAAAGGGGGGCATCCCAAATGCACTAGGAAATTCATGATCATTTGAGAAACTCATCATGTGTTACCAGCGTCACGTGACTTCCGCTGTCATAACATTATGAATGATTATAGTCTTTTAATGGACTAAGGTATTTTCCTTATCAGAAATCTTACAAAATATATCCTTAATAGCAAGATTATATTTTGTAATTAAATTAATAAAACCAACTTTGATATTGAGCTGCTTTCATTAATAATATTGTTACGCCTCCAGTCGTTAGTTAATTTTCCGTAAATTCGTTCCGATGAAACTTTAGCGACACAAGTCCATTCTTAAATAAAACTGGTTTATTCTTTCCAAATACAACTTTATGATACACTTAATTTCAACAGTCGCTCTTTAACAAATGCTATAACTCACGTCTCACGAGCTTGACTTCAACAATACTCTGTTCAATTACACACTCTCTGACTGCAGTTCAATTACTCATTGCACTGTTGTCCCGTCACGTTGTGAACGTCTTATATATACAAGACTAACAGATATCTAGTAAATGCTAAGGCATTCTTGAAGGAACAGGATATTTCTAGAAAGAGGTGGCGTGACCACTAGTCACGTGACCTCGCTGACGCAACAATATTAACACTTGTTCATTAATTCTCTGAATATAGTTAGGTAAAAGTGTGGATGTCACAATCTTTTACAGTTAGATTCAAAATTTAACTAAGCTACTGTATCATCAATGTCTGTTAATGAACGAGGCATCAAAATGTATTAAATAAACCAAGTTTTAATATAACTCTTGATTTCTTAATTTCAAAAGAAAATATTCAAATAAATTCTCAATCTTCACTTCTGTAAATCATGATACTTCTTTGCTCCAAATGGCCCACTTAAATATTATATCTCTATTTCAGCTTCTAAATACAAATTACAAAGTTATAGCATAGACAGTGCTGAAACATAATCTGATTTTATAGCCTCAAATCATCTTGATTTGCAGAAGTATAACCCAGCAAGTCGAACTCACACATAACACCCTTCTATCATATACTGTCTTTAAAGAAATATGAATAATTCTATCTGATATTACATTATTTATAACCAATAGAAAGAAAAAAAATTTATTTACTAATTTACGTATAATACCAACTCGTTCACATGACAAATTGAGAATTATCTGCCATACATATTCGGAGATTCTATTGAGAATTCAGCTTAACCAGCTAATGGAATTATTTTATAGTTATTAGAAATGGTATGCTTTGTGTATGTTATTATTTTGAGCTCTAAGTTGAATATTTGAAGTAAATAAAAATTCAGTAAAATAAAAACAGCAACACTAGCACACATTAGGGTTAACTTTTACCAGCCTTTGGAATCAATGACTGCAAAAAAATACAAGACCAAAGCTTTTGTTTTTTATGTATATTTTTTTTATTTCTTGTTGTAAAATTACCTATAATGTAAAAGCTGGAACTTATTAATTTCTCCATGATGCATTCACGTGAGAAACCCGTGTGTTATGTAATTCAGTACCATAACTGAAGCTGTGCATTCACCAGGTAATTTCTAGTTTGTTACATAGGTTCAGTAGTTACGCATTTGAAGCAATTGGTACTATGAAATATTTTTACAATTGCTTCAGTGTTTGGGAAGAAGGCTAAAGAGAATTTGGATTTCTGGGTGTGGTACACATACACATGAAGAAATGGCTTAAGAAAGATCGCCTCTCTTGCGAAATTAGATCAAGAGTTAGATGAAGCATAGCCAGCTAGTTAGTTGGTATTGAGAATCACAAATTAAAGAGATATAAAAAACAAAACCAATGCATGGCACCTGCATAAAAACGCTTAGAAAAATGCTAGTCATGAGTTTGACAGTGATAAGTTACTGACACCGATATACTAGTACAGAAAAGGCTACTAAAAAGTTTATGATAGCACCTAAAATCAGGACTTTGATATAAGATCCATTACTAAAGATTGGAGTAGTGGTATAAGTAAGAAGACAACTGACTCACACACCATAACCATAACCAATTACTTTGAGAATTTTGGATTTTGTTTTGGGAAAGTCCGATGAGTTGCAGAAATTAACCAGTGTCAGAACTACTTGCGGGCATTTATGCACGCTACTTGGAAACTCGTAAGAATACAAAGAAAATACCCTATAAAAACTCATATCTTCTCCAGTGTGAGTCAAGAGTTCTCCAAGAAGCCATAAAAGTCCTTTACATTTGAAAATGATGAAGGTATCTAATTTACAACAGAACAACTCTTCAACTTTGATGTCAGTTAAAATTGCTATTTCTCACGTTCAACTAACGTAGCTAAAGAATAAAGAAGTAAAGTGAGTTACATAAAAAAAGATAATAACTTTAACATGTCCGAGTATTTTTTTATGCGTAGATTAAGAAAGTACTGACAGTAACAGATAACTTGATTGTTGAAAAAATTTGATTACTGAAGAACTAACCGACTGCTAAAGTAAAGAGTGTAAGTAAAAACATAGTAAATAAATTGTATGTATTTTGTGTAAGTAGTGCAAATAAATAAGTTGTAAGTAAGTGAATATGACTATTGCTGGCACAGACACAACTACAGAAGAGGATGGGATAAGCTCTAAATGAAGCTGCTAGAATATCAGGTTGGACTGATACTCAAACGGCAGACATTTTAAGATTAAGAATGGCAGGAGAAGCAAAATGTTATATTAAGGCTTATAGTGAACTGCGTGAAACCACAGATTTTCAGTATTTAGTAAACAGATTAGTAGAAGAATAGAGAAAGCAAGAAACCCCACATGTAATTCTGACAGAAATACGTAACTTAATTCAGCAACGAGGCAAATCCATCTGAGTATTTGAATATAAGCTATAGGAGTTAGAAAATAAGAGTTCATAGAGTTTAGACACACCCAAACGAACTAATGATACAGTACACTTTAAAACCTGATTATGAGCAAATCTTGTTTAGTAATGCAGCTCGAAGTCATGTAAAAGAAGCAAATACACCCCCGAGAAACTTTGATTGATTTGATTGAAGTAGCTACTCGAGAAAAACAAATATACAGACCTAAACACTCTGCTGTAAATGTAGCAAGTAATGACAGATCTAGTAAAACAGATTGGCAAAATAAGCAAAGTTAAAAACTTGGCAAAAAACTTTTTGGAAACAGAAAAGAAATGAGCAGGTAGCATGTTTTAATTGTGGTATTAAGGGCCACATAGCCTGAGATTGCCAATGTCTACATATAAGGTTGGAACTTACAGAGGAAAGTTCCCTAAAAATAACAATAGCCCTACATTCACTATAGA